TGTGTGTGTTCTTCTTTATGAGCATCCTCACAGCCTCATGATTCTGCAGGCACTCATGACATTTCTAAACGTTTGTCAAGATGTCTTGAACCCAAACAGTCATGATTTAATTGTTCATCATCATTTTTCTTCTTCTCTGACCTTTACAATTAAAGAGATCATTCAGCCAAAAATGATAATGTCACTCCAAACCTGTGTGACCTTCTTTCTTTCTTCAGTGGAACACAAAAGATGTTTTGAAGAACATTTGGAACCAAACTTCTGCTTTGAAACAAAGTATATGATGAAAGCACTGTATAAATAAACATTTGAGATTGAGATTTGAGACAAACAACACTGGACCCCGTCAGGGTTATTATCGTAAACTAAAACATTTTTATTTGAAATAAAGCTGAAATAAAATGTAAATAATAGATAAAAAACAAACTGAATTAACTAAAATAAGTTTAAGTTGAAGCACTAAATTACTCACTGGGAAATAAATAATTAATTCATTAAAAAAAAAAACTAAAACTGAGATAAAATTCTGTTAAACGAAAATAGTAAAAATGGCAACAAATGAAAATTACAAAAGTACACAAAAACTAAACTAAAATTAAAACGCCGAAAAACAAAATTTAAGCAAAAATTGAAAACTGACTGAAATGGTTTTAAGTTGAAGCACTAAAATTCCACACTGAAAATAAATACAAATTAAACTGAACTAAAAAAAAAAATTATAATAAAATAAAATAAAACCTAAATACTAAAAATTACTAATAATAAAAAATAAAAGCACAAATCAAAATTATATATATATAAAAAAAATAATCTAAAACAAGATTAAACTAAAACTGAAATTAATAACTGAAATGTATATGGAAATGAGAAATGTTGCTTTGGAAACGGACTGAAATGAGTCCAAAATAAGTCAAATTACTCATGGGAATGAATAAAACCTAAAACTGAAATAAATATAAAATAAACCTAAACAGTAAAATGTTAACTATTAAAAATGACAAAAGCACATAACAAAATGACTAAGTGTTAAACTAAAATTGAAATGAAATTTAAACAAAAATGAGAAATGTTGCCTTGGGAACTGAAATAAGTCAGATGAAGCACTAAGATTACGCACTGAAAACAAATGAAAACAAACTGAAATACAAGCAAATGAAGCCTAACAGTAAAAATGACGACTAATAAAAGAAATGAAATTAAAATTGAAATGCCTAAATGAAAATTAAATGACAATTTTTGCCTTGAACTAAATGAAATTAGTTGAATCACTAAAATCACTCACTGAAAATAAATTAAAAATCATTTAAACCTAAATAATATGACAACAGAACATAACAAAATTATAAAAAATTAAACAAATTAAAAATGTTAAAAATACAATTCAAAATAATATAGTAGTATAGAAATATAACACTAAAAAATTTATTAAAAACGCTGAGACATTTTACAAAACATCTTTATAGGTTTGGAGCAACATGATCGGCTAATATTAGCTTAATATTACGCAGTACTGTACCTTTAAGAGTGCAATATGTAAATGAGCTGTGTTGTGATTGACTGTTAATGTGTCGATATGTTAATGAGCTCATGGCTGTGATGCTTTAATCGTTATTTCTGATGGTTTTTGCCGGTGATCTGTGAAGGAGTTTTTAATTAGATGCTTAGATACTGGTGCTTTTCTCGTTTGTTTGTAGTTCAAAATGCATTCTGGGATTGGTTTTCCTGTGAAGGAAACATGCAGCTTACCAGAACAGTATGTCGACGCCGTACATCACTCTTCCATCTCTAAAGAGAACAAAAACCCGTTTTCCCTTTAAGGGAGGAGCAATGGGGGGGGCGGTTAGAGATTGATTGACAGGCCGGAGGGGAGGCGCAGATAAAGCGAGGTCAGAGCCTTCATCCCGCTCTCCTCCTCTTCCTCCTCAGGGAGCAGGAGCTGAAGGTGCATCAGGCCCGGCGCAGTCTGGAAGACGCTCTGATGGCCGACGGTTTGGCGCGAGCCGCTGAATCCAGCCGAGACATGGAGGACAGTGCGGCGTGAAGAGAAACAGGTGAGAAACAGAGCGCCATCAACCACAGGATGACCGGGCAAGACTTCAGTACTGCAGAGCAGCTGAAAACAACTGTGTTGATGATGCAAAATTCAACAAATTCAGCTCTGCAGAAGACAATAGAGTCATCATTCAGATCGAGTTTTGTCAGTGCAGTTAGATAACGTTACTGAATTTTAAAGGAATAGTTCACCCAAAAAATGAAAATCTTAGATCAGGATGAGTTTGTTTCTTCATCAGGTTTGGAGAAATGTAGCATTGCATCAGTGTCTCACTGCAAGTGAATGGGTGCCGTCAGAACGAGAGCTGATAAAAACATCACAGTAATCCACGATTTACAACTAAAATATGAGTCCATAATCCATAATAACTCTTCCTCCAGTGAAAAAGTGCATCTGCTGTTGTCTCTCACATATGTGTTTAGAGCTGTTTAAACGCTGCTTGATCTGTGCAGATTTCTCTCCTGATTCACACCAGAACACTTTTTCACGTTATTATGGATTATAGACTTGTATTTTAGACATTAAAGCATCTTAATGCTGGGTTTGTTTCAGCTTTTGTCTTCTCCAGATGTTCACTGATGGACTGGAGTGCTGTGGATTACTTGTGGATTATTGTGATGTTTTTATCAGCTGTTTGGACTCTCATTCTGACGGCACCCATTCACTGCAGAGCATCCATTGCTGAGACACTGATGCAATGCTACATTTCTACAAACCTGATGAAGAAACAAACTCATCCTGAACTCTGATGATCTGAGGGTGAACACGTTAATTTTTACCTCAACTATTCCTTTAAGTGTCTTATTTGTGCTGCAGCTCAAGGGCCGGTAGCATAAACATAGCCACTGTGTCTTAAAAACTAGTTTGACCAACTAGCAGTAAGCCAAGAGGTAATCAGCCTTATTTTCTTTATTCAAAGCAGGCCAATCTACCTTTTTGTAATTGACTTTAAATAGTTATGACCAGTCTTGAAGAAAACAAATTAGATGACTAACTTTTTAACACTAGTCTAAGCAGTTTAGATAACTGGCCCAAGACCTCAATAACTGACTTTATCAACATGGTTTTTGCAGCATCGAGTCCTGTTTACAGTCTGTTACCGCGCAGCACATGCGTGTTGACTGTAACATATGAGCATCAGTAATCAGAGCGTGTGTGATTGTGAAGAGCTCAGTGATGATGGAATCATGCAGAAGAGCGTCTCTCCGGCTCTGAGGTCACGCTGCCATCAAATATTCAGAGCCTCATTAAGACGCGGTGAAGAGAGTCACATCACTTCAGCCTCTTCATCATCATCATCATCTGATTCTTTTTTAAAGGGAATTAATAGTTAATATTCCTTCATTCCACCCAGCCGTCAGTGAGATCCGTTTCTCCAGTCAGACGTTAACCGTATCGCGTTGGTTCTTTCTCGGAAATCCGGCGCGGCTCCGTCTGAATGCTGATGCTCTTTGAGACGATGTTCGTCGACAGAAACATGCTTTCCTGAATAATCAGTCGGGCTGTTTTGCATTCGCTGCTTCACTGAGCTCTTTCTCTCTCTGAGCAATAAAATATCAGAAATATCCACTGGGTGGAATTAGTGCGACGGCTTTATTTCCAAGAGCTTATGTTTATTTTATTTTCTGCCGTGATAAAACTCTAATGCACATCATGTGGTGTTTTCACCTGATGTTCACACAGCAGGGGCGGACTGGGACAAAAATTCAGCCCTGGCACTGTAGCCACACTGGCCCACATTACCACACCGACACAGCCCCACCCACGGACACACACGTTCACTACTTACGTTTGTGTACAGATGGTGAAATAATATAAGCAGTACCATATATGTAACAGATATTTAAACATTTAATGTATGTGTCTGGCAAACAATGCTTACTTCTTTTTAAACAGCACACGTTTATAACAAATTTACACATACAGTAAAAACAAAAGAAAAATAATCTGAGGATGTTGTAGAGTCTGTGTGCTGTCTGTTTGTGCCATTTGTCTGCTGTTACTGTCATTCTCTACAGTATGTTGTTCTTTGTTGTCACTGTCTGTCTGTTGGGTTTTTCCTACCTCTACCATACTCCTCCCTGTCTCTGCTTGGCCTACTGTAGCATCCTTCCTCACAGCAATGGTGTTGGAAGACCAGGGGTCTCTGGCTGTACTGATTCCAGCAACATCCTAGTTAATGAACACCGTATAGGACTTAAACATTACAGCGAAATATTTTCTCACTGTCTGCTCTCAACATTGGAATACACATGAATACAAAGAAGTAATAATAGCAAAAAAGGGAATAGAATATATAGCAAAAACTATAAATAGTAGCAGCAGTAAATCCTT